CCGGGGATTAGCAAGGTGTAAGGCCAACAATGTTACGAGGCCACGAGGCCACCATCCCGCGAGGTTGTGATGCCACCATCTCATGAAGCCACGAGGTCATGGATCCGTGAGGCGAAGACCAAAGAATGCACAAGACTGAAAAGAGTGAGCCATCATCCTGCAAGGCTGTGAGGCGGAAATGAGAGAGGCTGTCTTCCCATGAGGTCCATCGTCTTGCAAGGCTAACAAACAACTCCTCATAAGAAGAAAAAACTTCTACACTAATCCCATGTTCTATAATAGCTAAGCATGTCAAAATAGGATTTCATCTTTTGAAATAGAAAATAAATAAATAACTTCTAGCTGTTCAGTTTATCTCCCACCTAATGACGAGATTGTCAATTTTGTTACCAAGTGCCTGTCATCACAGTCAGACCCATCATAACCCAGCCCAAGTATATCAAATAGAAAAAATAAAAAAAGAATCAACTGTCAAAGAGCAAGTACAAAATACCCAAAAGAACGGGACTATCTACATATACCACCTAGTATATGGCACAGTCAAACTTATGTTATAGGTGTGATCAGTCAGTTCATCATGCTCTCACATATACACACTTAGATTCTGCAAAAGGGTTCTATGTGACTTGAAGAGTCATTTTGGTAGGGGAATCCAATTTGTTAATCAAGAGCATATGATGATTGAGGCATACATAAAGATTGATTAGGCTGGTTTTATTAATTGATGGTTATGTTATGTTTCAAGATTTGTCACTCTTGTTGGTGGAAATTGGTTTCTTGGAGAAACAAAAATAGTTTGGGGTAGTACATTTCAGTGTTGAGGCAGAAAATAGGGCAATGACTCATGGTGTGCCTGAGATATTATGGATCAAGTCTCTTCCTAAGGAGTTAGGTGTTGACCATGAAAACCAATGATAATAGTGAAACAATTAGGTTGTTATAATTTATAATATAACTTATAATCTTATTTATGTCAGAACAGAACACATTGGATTGAATTGGATAAATATTTCACATGTGAGGAAGTTCTTTTTTGTTTTTTTTTTTCTGTCATATGATTAACACTTATGCCAAGTTTGAGGGGAGGGGGGGGGGAGTGTTGGAGACTATAGTGTTTAAATGAGGGTATTTATGTCCTTATATGAACAATAATTATTTAAGCTGTGGATAGGAGTTTTTCTATTCACTAATAAGTATGCACATGCTTTGCACATGATAATTTCTAATGATGATAATGATAGTAAATAATCAGATCACTAATACACCAAGGAGGTACACTGGTGAAGGTGTGATTCAATCCAAAGTATCCACTACTACAATCAGCTAGAGACCCTACCAATTGAGTTGTCACCTTTATTAAGTCGTCACTTAAATAGTTACATAGGTGACAAATAGGGGTGAACAAATGAGTAGGTTCTACCCAGAACTGAATGGCTGGAATCAGCCTTGAACTGACCTTACCCAATCTTTTAATGGGTAGAGTCTGGTTCCAAATTCTTGGAATTGACTCCTACCTAGGTTGGTTCTAGGTTCTAGGGTAGGGCTGCAATTGAATCAAGTTCTAAGCGAATAATTTAGGCTTGAGTTTGGTTAGGCTCAGTTTGAGTTTGAATCTTAAGGTAAGCTTGATTCGATATTTAAATTCAAGCTTAAACAATAAAAAGTTCGCTCAAATAACATATATATACATACATATATTATATAATATAAAAATATATTTTATAACATATGTTATAAAGATATTTTTTTATATATAATATGTTTTATATTCTATATATAATATAAGAATATATTATATATTATGAAAATTATATCATATATTTTGAGCGTTCAAAACAAACTTGAACTTGAACTTGAGCCTAATTGTATTTTAGTTGAACCGAGCCAGCACATGCAAAAGTTCGGCTTGGCTTCGGTCCATTGCACCCCTAGACTAGGGGTTTACCCTACTTGAAGGGTTGAACCGACCTAGAGAAATGACCTTGGTGGAATAAGCCTTGAAATAAATCCTAAAATACTTTGAAGATGTGAAGATTTAAAATCAAGCACCCATGGTTACAGAGACCACAATATCATTTGACCATCGAGTCACTTAAGTTATTTGATCATTTTTCTTTATTTTAATATTTGAACATTTATAATAAGTAATGTAAAAGGTCATGTTTACAAATTTAAATTATAATGATAAGTCTTGAACTATATTATTATTATTATTATTATTATTATTATTACTACTACTACTATAAAAAAGGTTTCATTAATAATTAAAGATTTAAACTTAGTACAACTGTTGGCTGATTGCAATACCCATCAATAACACCGTTTACAAGTCTGCCTAGAAAATACTTTGCCCACCAACCCCTTGTTTAGCTAATGAATCTGCTACTCCGTTTGCAGTTCTTTTCACCCAGCTGAAGTTTGTATTTAATTTCTTTGCAGTCACATTAATTTCTAGTTGTGAATCACTTTCAACATCCAAATCTCTGTGGCCATGTTGTTGTGCTAGTGTCAATCCTTGTAGAAGTGTCATGATTTCTCCCTTGACTGAATCTCCTAAACCTGTTGGACCCGAATACATCACAACCACCAAACCTTGATGGGGGAGGGGGGTAAAGAAAGTCAAGCTTTTAAAGAACATGTTCCTTTTCTTTTTCTTTTTTTTTTGTTTTTTTTTTTTTTTGGGGGGGGGTGGGGGGTAAAGAAAGAGCATATCCCAAGTGGGCCTGGAACTAGTTTTGATTTCAAAAGTTTGGAACCAATCCCTATAGAGTAGGTTTTAGGTTCTACCTTGAAACCGAACCAAGTGGGTCAGGCGTGTCTTCTACTCCGTCAGTTCTGTCAATCGGAAATAGAAAATCCAAACTATTGAGGGATTGTTATGATCTACCGGTTGTTACCCCTCCTCCTCGAAGAGCCCGTTGCATCAGGGAAAGGGGTAGAAGAAGAAATAGCTTGGGCTGTTAATTGAGTGTTTGTATGCTCTTTCTTTATTTGGAGGTCTATTAGGCTTTGAGTTTTTAGGCTAGGCTGAGAATTTTGGTTTCAAATCTCCTCGCTGGTGCATATTGTGTTGTTTTGTGGTCTTTGAGTTTTGGGTTCGGGTTGTATTTGGTTTGTTTTGGGCTTCTTTAGGGTTTTGGTTTTTGTAAACCTCTTGTATAATTTTCTTTCTTTTTGAATAAATTTTACCTTACCATTTTTCATAAACAGTTTACCCTTTTAGACAAAATATTATAAAAAAATACAAAAAAAAAGCTATGTAACCTTTATATATTACAAACAAGAACCAAAATCTAACCAACTATTAATTAATTAGGACAAATTCACAAAACTAGAATCAATATAATCAGTTTGGTCCGTTTGGTGTGGTCAGTTAGAACTGACCCATTGACAGCCTTAATGGTAAGGAAAGAAGGGGACTTAAAGGCTATAACTTTAGAAGAAAAAATAGAGAGAAGGGAGGAAAAAAATAAGATCATAATCTTATAGATAACTTTGAATTTATTCCATTAATACTTATCTAAATATTCAATTACAATGAGCATTTATAGCTTCATCATAGAGGCTAAAATTCTTCTGAACTTTATCAAGAGAAAGTTGTAATAGTTAGAAGGCACATGTGATTCCTTTATTCAACTTCAATTTAAACTCAAAAGCTAAAACGATGCAACTCCTCATTGCTTTAGAATTGAGGCAAACCCATAAGTAACTCATAAATATGACACCCAAATAAGAACTTAAACTGCTAAATAAATCGAATAACAATCATACCAACACTGATACAAAGAGACTGAATATCATAATATCATTATAGATAGGCATCTTGTCACATAAATAGATATAGATTTTTAATATATATATATATATATGTATGTATGTATGTATGTGTGTGTATGTATGTATTAATGCTTGAGATGATCAACCTTAAAGATGCATCAGTGAGAGTGGTGAACGGGGATAACAGGGTTGTGACTGAAGGGGCAGGGGTGATTGAGAGAGGTGTTTTCCTTGGTAGATACCTAGTTGGAGAGTTTTTCAATGGTTGTAACCAAAATTGGAAAGATGCTAGAACTATTGTTTAAAACCGAGTGGTAGATCCTTGACCGAAGCTGTTGGCTCTACATTCTAGAATTTGAATTGGATGTAGTAAGATTTCTTATGTCTGGGTCGCACCAATTCAACAACTAGAAGCTTGTCTTGCAGTGGTGTTGTCTCTCTTGTAGTCAGAGCAAAGAGTTATCAGAAATGTTGGTGAATCGTTACACACATTATGCTGGGCAACTTTTTAAGGAGCATGGAGATGGCCATGGTGGTTTTGTGGATGTAGATACATAAAATCTGGAGTGGAAAGCTACCTATTCGCCACACTAATTTGGTGAGGCTTTTCTTATTAAAGTTGTAGCGGTTAGTGTTGCCACCGTGGAGGTTTGTCTAGAGGATGGAGAGATGGCCTTCCTGATGTAAGGGAAGACCGACCTTCTGGTATAAGGTAAAGCTCTTGAGGGGTTGCTAGGGTTTCTTAAGAAATCCATCATGTGTGTCCCCTTCTTAATAGGGCTCCCTATTTATAAGGACTTGTTGCTTGGGGATTGTGAAATCTTCTTTTATTGGTAAGTTCCCCCTTATGCGTCATGATTCATAGCGAAATCAACCAATTATTGTGAATGATAATAGTTCAGCCGGGTGTGTATGATTTTATCTCCAGTTCATCCGGACTGCTCTAAAACATACAACTCCCAACCGCCCCGGAACAGACTCAAAATATTTAAACTGCTTTTCCTATTCTATCCTCGCACCCTTATGCTATATAAGATTCTTTAAATTAATTTGACCCTTCAACACAATTACCTTATCCTTAAGAATATGAGGAACTTGATTCTTTAAATTAAATTGATTTTTTCTTCATTGCTTATTACCTCCTAATCCTTAATGAGAAATGTAAGTATAGTTCATGTTCTATAATTTTAATCTATTTACCAACAATTTTTTTTTTCATTCAGCATGAACAGAACCCTCGAGCGTTACCAACGATGCTGTTACACTCCTCAAGACGCCAATGCTGCTGATCGTGAAACACAGGTTTCTGTTGGATATGTTCTTGATTGACATATGAGGGCAATTTTGTGTTGACAGATACCAAGATTTTGATTTTGATGAGTACTATTTATATGCTATTTTAGTTGTTTGCACATTGTTTGGATTTCTTTCTTATATTCACATGATACATCTTTTATAAGTTTATTGTCGTACTTAGTTTCCAATAGACTATGTGGAATTAGAACACATTTAATTAACTTTTTTTTAATGCTTCCACCGAAAAAAGAGTTGGACTAAATTGTTCCTTGTAGTTACATATTTAGGCCCCTAGCACAAATATTGCAGTGTTCACTTTTAGGAAAATCAAGCGACCGTTCATTAACCGTGCAGAATTTACTAGAATATTGTCTCATTATCAGAGTGCAGAATTTTAACATTAGGGATCTGCTAGAGTTTATCACGAAAATCCTGCATTTGAAAATCATGTCCAATTAATCATCAAATGCCAATGGAAATTTTGCATGTTAAAATTTGCTGATCTTATTATTGAAAGTATGTAGTTAGGTTCAGATTGCCAATCAACTTGGGATAGAGAAGTTACTGATTGAAGGGGATTCTAAGGTGATTGTAGATCTGTTGCAGAACCCTGATTCAATTATTTGGAGCTATAGGGATTTCATGAAAATATTTAAATGGTTAATTTGACATATGACAATCTCTTGCCATTTAGGGAAGAGCTATTCTGCACAAGTCTATAACTTTTTCTGGTGTATTCTGTTTTCACTGTAATGTCTAGGAGAGGCTGCACCTTGCACCCCTCCAAGGGATGCTTGCAACAGCTTATATTCTCTGATTAATGAAATTATAATTCAATTATCAAGAAAAGAAAAGTACCTAACTAGATTAAATACACACTGGATGGGGAAAGAATTGGCCTTAGAAATACCCAAAAATGACTGATATAGTGAAGGATGGAATCTTTTCTGAAGCCGTCAAGAATTTTTTTCCTTCTTTCTATCATAGTGTAATCTAACATTCATCAAGTCATACAAAATTTGACCTGATTTTTGAAGCAAAAATCTTACAGACAAGTTATTTCTTATCTATTGTAATGTGCTTAACAATTCAAATTAACATCATAACAATTTGAGAACAAGATTGATTTTTAACTTTCCTGCAAATTGATAGTAGATCCTTTTTAAAAGAGTTGAGATAACATTAGTACTTTGAAGGAGAAGATCAAAGATTCGTGGTAATTTAACTTATTCTTTTTTCTCTTCTATTTTCTCCCTTGTTCTCTTTTTGTTGATCAATGCAGAGCTGGTATCAAGAGGTCTCGAGGTTGAAGTCAAAATATGAATCTCTGCAGCGCGCACAGAGGTAGATTAATAACTAAGCCACCACCATTAGAGCCACTGCACATACTTTTTAATACCGTTATAAAAATCCAATTACAGATTTTACTACAATCTTGTTTGAAGCACTAATATCCTGATTCGTATTATATTTTGTAAATTGCAAGGCATTTGCTTGGAGAAGATCTTGGGCCACTTAGTGTGAAGGAGTTGCAAAATCTTGAGAAACAGCTTGAAGGAGCCCTCTCAGCAGCTAGGCAACGGAAGGTACTTGCATGGATTTCAGTATATTTCAGCTTATATATACCGAAGTTTTTGCATGCATGTAGGGTACTGCTTCAAGAGTGAAATTTTCTATTTGCCATGATTCTCTTATATTTCTCTTGTAGATTGAAACTCCTACCTCTTGTATTCAGTTTTGCTGAAGATATGTCATAACCAGAGCTACCGTCTCCATCATCCATTTTAAACTTAAAATCTTAAATGCGCAAAACAACTCCTTTGGTGATAATATATGTTCTTACGGTTAGTTGTCAAAATGCAGACACAAATAATGATGGAAGAAATGGAAGAACTCCGCCGTAAGGTATGTCATCCTGGGGAACAAAAAAGTGTCTGATATTTTTGCATTTATCGTGGTGGGTAGCAAAATCTGAATTGCTTATTCCATTGTCATCAATTTCTTATTTGGATTTCAATCTTTGCCGAATTGTTATTACATATTCCTTTTTTTTTTTTTGTGGGGGGGTAGATTTCATAAAAGCCAAACCAGTTGTGTTTGTGCCTTGATTCCTGGTCCACTCCATGACCTGACCTGACATGGGTGGAGAAGAACCCGAAGGGGGAAAATTCATTGAGGTTTGTGGTGGATGTGGAGCGCTTGGGCGGAGTGCCTGTACAGACCCAACCCGTTTTGCTTACTTGGGTCCTGTATATATATATATATATAGTTGTTTCTAGGGTTCAACATTAGAAAGACAGACTGAGAAAGAGGGGTTTGGGTGTATAGGGCACCCAAACCACGTTAAATCATTGTGTGATCTTTGAGTTAGCTCTATTGTTCTTCTTTTCTTTTTGTTTCCCTTGCCAATTCGTTTCAAATTGGGTTTACGATTTCATAACACAAACCAAGGATGATTAAAACTCAGCATCATCATGACCGCCTGTCAAATCACTTTCCAGAACACCAAGGAGCTAACTAGGAGGTTCTTCAAAAAAATTATCCATTTCCTCCTCACCCCATCAATGCCGCTATGCATGCGGCTTCATTTCCATGTCTTCTAACATGGCTGAATATCAATTCTTTGTTCTGAATCATACACTGAAACCACGCAACAGAAAACATCTGTAGGTCTCTCCATAGTTGTAGATCTAAGCCATGAGATCAGCAATGAACAATCACATTCAACCACTAGCATATTGGTTGCCAAAACGTCGACACAAAGAGCTGAATCTGCTTTTGATCTTCCATATTGGTTGCCACAAAAAACCCTGCCAGTTCCTTGCTACATGCAAAAAGATTTCTTGGCTTCACAAAGCCACCATCAACATTTATCTTCGTCCAGCCCTGTGTTGCCTCATCCACTGACTCGCTTTGTCCTCAGCATCCCCACCTTGCAAGCATTTCATCAAACTCTTATCTGTAGAGAGAGAGAGAGAGAGAGAGAGAGAGAGGGAGCACGTCAATGTATGTGGAGAATGAGAGCATTATAACAGCTAATAATCTTTCTTTTTCGGTATAATAATATGAAGCTTAATTATGAGGTTTTCGATCTACACTGGCAGGAGCGTCATCTCGGCGACATTAATAAGCAGCTCAAAAATAAGGTCTCTCGCTTCAACTGTAGTCAGCAATCAGCATTCATTGTAGTATCTGTCGATTTCTCTTTGTTGTTATGCTGATTTCTGTCTTGTGTTGCTTCTGTTTGTCAGCTTGAGGCGGAAGGGCAAGGTTCTTTTAGAGCCATCCAAGCGTCATGGGACTCTACTGCTCTAGTTGGTAATACCTTCTCAGCGCAGTCTTCTCAATCCAATACCATGGACTGCGAGCCCACCTTGCAAATAGGGTACATTCTCTCTCTCTCTCTCTCTTATATATCAATATATCAATAGCAAACTACCATATATAAGATGATAATTTTATTCAAGGCAGTTTTAATTGGAACAGGTACCACCACTATGTTCCACCGGAGGGAGCAACCATCGCCAGAAGCGTAGCCGGCGAGGGTAACTTCATTCAAGGATGGGTTCTCTGAGCTAAATTGAACAAAACAGACATAAGACAAAGGTCTACCTGCTGCAACTGGATGTGTTAAAGTTATTAACTTACTACATTTGCTATATATTAAACACACACATATTTGGATATGCTTATATAATTTTAGGACAGCTCTTGCATGCTTGGTAGGGCTCTGAGCGTCCTGGATTGACTGCTTTTGCACGTTTCTCTCTCATATATATATTTAACGGTGTTATACAGATGTAATAAAAGATTAGATGACACACTGCCAGCCAATAGCTAGCCCATCAAATCACCAACAACTTCTCATACTTGTCTGATCTGATGTGCCAAATGGCACTGATAAAGCTTTTGCCAGCCAAGGTTCTACAAGTTTAAACCCCACAAGTTAAAAGCTATTTAGGGTTGAGATAGTATCATGGTTTATTTCTTAAACGCCATAATGGTGCAATCTGTATCTATAGCTCTTTCTCCCTAGCTACGGTCTACACACACCCACAGTGATGAAATGGTGCGATTATGGTCCATGGCTTTTCATTTTTGGGGTTTTTATGATTCAGTCTACCCCTAGGAAATTGGATGTTAAATTCACGGGGCAGGATGTGGTTTATAAGGAAACTATTAGGAGGGGCTGCAAAAAAGATTTCTGAGAGGGAGTGAAATGCAAAAAGCTCTTTATTTTTTGAAATTCCAATTTCTCTTCATAGGTCATCATCTTATTCATTAGATTTCAGTTCAATTTTCAATTTCTGTTTACATGAGTCCCGATCAAGTAGGTATAATTGATGAATACACCTATCCATAAGGCATAATAGCTGTATATCAGAAATATCTCTCCATAAATGATAACATACAATTGCCGAAGATATTTTCAATGTGCAACTGTAGTGATGTGTGGATAAGTGTAGATAGGGTTCTTGTTGGTAAGATATCCAAACTGGGGTTTTGGAACTTGAAATGATAAAAAGATATAATATGCTATACGTATAAGTTGCCTTTGGTTTCTTGTAAATTGGACCAGGAAAATGAATGATTTCCTGAAAAATGATATTCAATAGAAAAACCAATCACTTTCCTAATTTTCCTGGTTGTTTACTTTAAATGAGAAAATAAATAAATAAAAAGCTGAGTAGTTCAAAAATGTGTTGCGGGATATGAATTGTAAGGACCAACCTTTATTCAAAAACTGACTACAAGGAAAATCAGGAGTGTCATTTGACTAAAATTTGTGTTCAATTTTTTGAAAAATATTTGTTTTTTCACAGCCATTTCCATGGAAATTAACAAACACCGTAGAAAGGAAATTCTCAGAGAGTTATTTATTTTCTCTTTTTTTTGGAAAAAGAAAATCCGGGTTTAACACAGATGATAGCACCCCAGTTCGAAGATATACCACTAATCCTCAAAGAGGAAAAACTGACCAACTCATCTATATTTGGATTGAGATTTTCCTTGGTCTAGACAAAGCACCGCGTCAAAAAATGGCGTTTCGGCCAACGGTTCCATCTCTCCTTCACTGTTTCTTGGTCCAATAACAAAATCTTCATTACTGGAATGCTTAGGTAAGAGTGTCCATGGATCGGTTTTTGGATGGAACCCTGTCTAAATCAAAATTAACTTGGACAGATTGGATGGACTAACAAGATATATTGAATTAGACCAGTCCAGATTTAATGGTCCAAAGTATTTATTGGATTGGACTGGACCTGGTCCATTTGTAATGAATTTATATTGGATTGATTTGGCTTAAGCAAATATCTAGTCCATTAAAAGAAGATAGAAATATAGGTGTTAATGGACCAAGTTTGAGTTAAAATTAATCTAAATTAAAACAAATTTGAACAGATTGGAGGTTCAGACATTGAATTGAACTAGTCCAAAATGGTCAAAAATATTTATTGGATTATATTAGACCTGATCCATTTGTAATGGATTCACATTGACTGGAAAGGATTGAACCAAAACCAGTCCAATTGACAGAGGAGTAACAATCTCAAGGAAAATTGGCCATTTCTCAAAATCAGATATCCTGTACTTTCTACACTCACCAATTAATGTGTGATAGGCATCAAGGATGTTGGCTACTTTGTAGGGCATTTGAGAATTGTGAATTTCTGATGTTTCAGATTATCCCAAAAAAAACCCTAGATATTCATAACATCCAATTTTTTAAAATTAATCAACACATCTCCGCAATTAAACATTTATCATCCCCTAAACTCTTGAACACCATCTATAGTTCCTCTGGTGACATGGACCCGTTCTGATCAATATCAAATGCCAAGAATGCTTCAGATCCTCTGTGATTAACCTTCACTTAATCAATCTCCTTCGTCTTCAACAACCTAATTAACTTGTTCAAATCAATAAATCCATCACCCTCGCAATCAACATCTTTCATCATCTTCTGCAGCTCCTCTTCCTCCAACATGCAGAGAGTATCTAAGCTCGATACGATTGCTGTTTAATTTGTACCTATAATGTTGCGAATTGGTGAATACAAATTGGGAGAAGTTTTTCTTTTTCTTTATATCAGAAGCTTTTTCAGTTAATCAATCTCATACTTGATTTTTTTTTTTTAATTGAAGTGATTATGCTATGTAATGCGATAAGATACATTTCTCAAAAATTTGTAGTGATCCTAACACGACAATAATACTAACACAAGCTTAGTAAGAGGAATTCTGGGTTGTTTAAGGCAATGTTTTCAAAACCGGAAGGGACTGAAAAAACTGGGAACCAGTCACTTGATTGGTTCCGTTTTACCCCAAAACTGCTGTTTGGTCAAAAACCGTTGATTTGGTCAACAAACTGTTGATCTAAGCAATAGAATCATCAGATCATTCAACCCGAGAATGGTTTTTAGCTATTTTTTAGGTTTTTAGATTTATTTTTATTTTTTTGTCAGAATGGATAGTCTGACGATCAAACTATTTGACTTGGGAACCGAACCCAAAACGGTTCCCTGTTTGGTCCTGTTTTAAAAACCTTAGTTCAAGGAATGAAAACAGGCTCTCACGCAGAATTCTCTTGCTTGTGGAGATAGATGCCCATAAAAGCATCTGTCATATTTTTTAAACACAAAAAAAATTACAAGCTAACAAAATCAACAACGGTCATGCTGTTTTTGCTCACCTCTCTCTCTCTCATCTGCGAAGAAACTTTTTTTAAGAATTAGGGGAAAAGATTTTATACACCCTTACCGCGGGGCCGGCCAAACATAAAAAAAAAAAAAAAAAAAAAAAAAACTCCCAATAACCTCCTGCCCCTAACCAGCAAGAAAATTCCTCAACAAAACAACAAAACTCTCACATGCTATTAAGGCCCCGCTTGCTTTTTGATAAATTATTTACTCGGGTAAATACAGTTACTTGGGTAAGTTTTTCTGGGAAGCACTTATTCGGGTAAGTGCATTTACCCATGTTTTAAAGCAATGAGCATTTTAGCCATAAAAATCTATTATTAAAAAAGATATTTTTGTCTTATTCAAGTGTTACAACTTTCCCCTAGGTAGAAAAGTTATTTACCCACCCAGGTAAGTGATATTTAGGAAAATAAACTTTTCTTATTCCCCACATAAACCTGAAAAAGAACATAGGACTCTTAATTAATAGGAACCAAAATCCGAAAAAAGAAAAAAGAAACGCCCCCTAAAGATTATAAGAAGTTTTTCTTCTTCAAGCTTTAGCCAGGGGCAAAAGTCATTTGCAAGTGGAGAATGGGAGTCATTAAAGCAGTTAGAAGAGAATCCAGACCTCTTCTTCCAATGGCGGAAGGCATTAACGCAGTTTGACTCTTCTTCCTTGGATGCCATTAACGTAGAAAGAACACCTCTTTATTCTTCAGTCTTCAGTCCAATGGCAGAGGGCATTTACCAAAAAAAATCATTTTATCCTTAGTTTATGTGTTGGGAATGGCACAATGGACAAAACAATCTGTATATACACAGAAAGAAAGAGAACAAAAGCCAAAGAAATGAAGGAAGAGAACACCAAATTTATATGGTTTGGCCAATGCCTAGATAGCACCTCAGAGCTTTCTTCTTCACTATAAACAAGAGAAATTACAACAGCAACAACATGAGCTCACTACAATCAACACTTAGCACACACCCTTATACCCCTTACAGAGTATCCACACTTGATACCCAACATCAATGACTACGCAATATCAACCATGGTGGCCTTTGGAATTTCAAAGGAAGGTTTTGCTCGGTGTGTGTACAAGGGAAGTCGATCTAGGTGTTTGTGGCAGAGGATGGGATCCGGGACCATGAAATCTTTCTCCATAGATGCTTGGTGTTGCGTTTCTCAGGCGATTGCCCAGCTAGTGAAGAGGTCGAGTGTTGGCTTCCTCCTAAGTGGTGAAACCTATAGAAATCGTCTATTAGAAAGATTGAAGGAAATAAGTGGGACTCGGATACATTTTCCCCTATTTTGCTACACTCAGAGATTAGGAAAAGTTCCTTTGAAGCCTCCATTTTGCTCTAGTTTTCCTGAGGTTTCCATGCAAGGCAAAGGGGAAACACGTTTCGGTGTGGGGGAAACAGTGGCAAAGGCACCTGCTAAACGAAGAATAAAACGCATAAGAAAAAGGAAAAGCAGACCACCGTCTATCACCGATGTTGGCGAGGTAAGAGGAAAGGAACTTCAGGTGATCCCGCTGCACTTTGCTTATTATAGTGTTTAACTCGTTTAGGTGTTTTTGTAGAGAGGTTTTGTCCTTCATTTTTAGGTTGTAGAATTGTCATCTAAGGAAGATTCTGTTGGGAGATCGATTTTCCTTTGTAGAGATTTTGCAACTTGTTTCACAAACCCTTAACAGTGGTTTCCTTGGACACGTTAAATAAGACCGAATCTTCTAAAGCAAAAATGAATATCGGCAATCTCAAACTGTTCATCCTTCATGTCAATAGGCTTCTTCTCTTTCCCTTTTAAAAAAATTGTACAATCTTCTTTTACCAACCCGACATGCATCTTCAGTTTCCTAGATTGCACAGTTGGAACTATTAAATTTTGGTATATCGAACCATATTTAACATATATAACACCAGAGCAATAAATACAAATTTTGGCAGAATCCCAAGTCAGAAATGTTAAGCTCACATACCAATTGTTGGGAGTGACATAGCAGACAATACAACAATCTGTATATGCATAGAAAAAAAGAACAAAAATAACAAAAATCAAGAAACGGAGGAAGGAAGACAACAAATTT